TTGTGAATCATGATTCACGAGTCAGTAAAGTGATTCTCGAGTATTGAACGATTCGTTCACGAATCGACCATCACTAATGTAAAACAGCACGACAGTAAGCTGTATTAAAGAAAGATTGTTGTTGCTCCACGTTATCGCTTGAGCGGGAGTTTTATTCAAGAGCCCAACACAACACTCACCGTCCCTCATTTTCACTTGTGAGTTGATGGGGGTGTGTGTGTGTACAGCGGTGCCCGGGGTTTCTGGAGACGTCAGGCCCGCAGAGTTTCCTGCCGTTAAGCCAGCCACACCTGAAAGTGAATGAAACTCACCTGTTACTGATCAGCCTAATCTGAAGAGCTACTTAACAGACGAGCTGAGCTTCACTCGATGCTGGATCGTTGTGAGAAATCATTCAGTTCCCAGCTACTTTGTGATAGTGTTTCGAGTGGAGGGGATTGCGTGTATTAACGGCAGTGTGTTTATATCCAAAGTGTTGCGGAAACGAGTGGAGAAAGTGGAGCATGTTGTTCATAGTTACTGAAAGGAAAAGGACAACCACCACGAACACTGGAGAAGTCATGCACGGGAGCGAGCACACGAAGAGAGAAACACACGCGGAAGATTGTTGCACTTGTCATTTTCTTCCCTGTAAATAAACACATTGTACTCTACAGGAAGTCTTGCATTTGGGTCTTGCTTTCATAACCCTGACATACATTCCTGCTTTATGTAACTCTTTGCTTAGACTGTAATTTATTAAATGTGTTATCATTTCCAATAATCTACAGTCTCTTAACTTTTTTATTTTGGCTACTTTACTTATACTTGCCTTAAAATGTGCCTGTGGGATTATAATATTATTTTATGCCATGTTAGACCCTTAATTAAAGATTGTGAACTATTATGTAGTTTTAGTTTGCATTATTCTCCTGAATTAGAAGAAGGCGATAACTATTACATTTGTTAAACTGATTTGCATTACATTAGACTGCTGATTTATTGTGAATGAATGATATTGTTTTATGATGCATTATACTGCTGAGTTATAAGAAATACTGTTCGCAGAAAGTCATCGCCTTATTTGTCTCTAGAAGAGAACAGAACATACTGGAGTTTTCTGCCCCATCTCAGCAGGAGCAGATAAACAGGGAGCCAAGGTAGTAGCTTAGGTGCCGTGTGAGAGAAAGAATGTGAATTTTTAGGCTTTTATGATTAGGTGGGGGCCACTAGAGGCTATAAGAGTTTGATCAATGCTCCACCATTTTGAGATCTGATGCTGTCTGCGTACGGTGTCCATCTCCCACGCGTGTGATCATTAAAATCATCGTTTGACTTGACCCGGCCGGACCAGTGTTGTTATTTTGGTTTTT